AAAAAAAAAAAAAAAAAAAAAAACAAAAACAAAAAAACAAATATCAGTTTTTGCCTTAAGGCCTTTGCACAAACTCTTTCCTCTGCCTGAAGGTCCTTCCTGCCTACCTTGCTGGGCTTACATCTGCACACCCTTCGGGTTTCAGTTCATAGGCACCTGGCCTTTCTTCCAAGAAGCATTCCCTGACTTCTCAGGCTGGACAGGCATCTTCTCTGGGCTCCCACAGCCTCCTGGACCTCATTCACACTATCCCTGACCACCCCAGACTGTTACTGTCAAGGGATGGGTCTGTCTATTCCAGAGGCTGTGAGCCCTGTGAAAGTAGGGCTGTGTCCTCAGCACCATCCAGCACAAGGCCAGGCACAGCACGGTGCCAGGCCCTGAATCAACATTAGATTAATAAACAAATAAGGCCGGGTGCAGTGGCTCACACCTATAATCCTAGCACTTTGGGAGGCCAAGACAGGAAGACTGCTTGAGCCCAGGAGCTGGAGACCAGCCTGGGCAATGTAGTAAGACCCCACCTCTATAAAAATAAATAAATACATAATACATAAGTAAATAAGAAAGAAATATTAGGAAGGAGCTTCTGACAGGTCTGTCACCCTCTGTGTGGTGCTACTACAAGACCCAGCCTGGACTGGGTTTCTAGCTGTCCAGCACCATCTCAGAAATGCCACCCTTCCACCCCCACTGTCAGCTCTCCAGCCACCCTGACCTTCCCTCTTCCCCTCCTAGGTTGTGCTCCTTCCGGCCTCAAAGCCGTCCCGTCGGCCTCCTCCCAGGAGACTCTTCTGCCCCACGGTTGCTGGTCCCTACTCATCCTTCAACTCCTAGCATACACGCCCTGTCCTCAGGGCAGCCAGGCTAGATTCACACCTGGAGGAATGCCCGGCACTCCCCTCCATGGCACTGATCATGCCTGTGATATTTACTGGACACAGTGATCAAGATGAGGGCTCCAGTCCTGGTCCTGCCACCTCCTGGGAAGGACCTGTGAAAGCCTCCGTCTCCCCATCTGTAATCCAGCACTATGGCCACGTGGGCCAGCCTGCCTGAGTTTGAGGGCTGCTCCAGGATTTACTAGCCATGTAACCCTGGGCAAGTTATGACTCTGGCCTTAGTTCCCTTTAAACAAGCATCATCATTGCCGGGCACGGTGGCTCAAGTCTATAATCCCAGCACTTTGGGAGGCCGAGGCGGGTGGATCACAAGGTCAAAATATCGAGACCATCCTGGTCAACATGGTGAAACCCCGTCTCTACTAAAAATACAAAACATTAGCTGGGCATGGTGGTGTGTGCCTGTAATCCCAGCTACTCAGGAGGCTGAGGCAGGAGAATTGCCTGAACCCAGGAGGCGGAGGCTGCGGTGAGCCGAGATCTCGCCATTGCACTCCAGCCTGGGTAACAAGAGCGAAACCCCATCTCAAAAAAAACAAAAAACAAAAACCAAAAAACAAGCATCATCATAGCACCTTCCTGTTAGGGTGGTTGCAAAGATAAAATGAGCTAAGATTTGAAAAGCGTTTAGATTGGGGGTACATGGTGAGTGCAATGTGAGGTGGATGTGAACATTTGGCAAGCTCACCTACATGCAGTGCTTACCATGGCGATGCCCTCGTCCAGTCCCCCAAGATGTGGAAGAGGTTGCCACAATTATCATTCTCCGTTATCCCATCAGCTCCAGGGAGACCTGCCTCAGTCTGCGCTCCATAAACGTCTGCTGACTGGTAGACCTCTCAAGACCACCTTCTCTGACAGGAGGCCTCTGCAAACGGTGCTTTGAGCCTTAAAGGTCCAATCTCTTTCCTGACATGTGAATTCCCACTGCAACATCTGTGCAGAGAGGAGGCTGGCCTCCCCTTGAAGCCCTCCCAAGGTGAGGAGCTCACCTCTCGAGAGCTCAGCTTGCAGGAGGCTCTATTTGAGGCGAGCCTTGCACAGCCCATCCACTGCTACCTCTTACCTGTTCCAGGCCGGCCCATGATGACTTCCTTCTTGGGGGCAGGGTGGCTGGTATAGCTGCTGGGCACCAAGACGGGCAACAGGGCAGCAGGTGAGGGGTGGAAGGCCACGGGTTGGAAGGGAGAAGAAGCCAGGCCAAAGGTGGGCATCGGCTGGGCCACAGCAGTCGGTGCAGCTGGAGGCACGGTGATGGGCACAGGGGCTGGCAGAGGTGGGGGCAGGCCAGGCTTCCCACTGGCCACCCCAGGGGGCACCAGGGTCTCCCGGCAGCCCCGCCCAGGTCCCCCAGCCCGCACATCACCAGCAGTGCCCACCTCCCCAGGGAATTTGGAGGGCAGTGGCACATCTGGGTTGCGGACAATGACAGGTGAGTCCCGCTGCACGGCAGGTACCCTGCGCACAGAGGGCCCTGGATCCGAGGTCAGGCCGGCAGGCGGGGGCAACAGCAGCAATGGTGAGGGCTGGCGGGAGCGAGAGAAGGGCACGGCAGGGGACACAGCCCGGAAGCCAGCCGGCGTGGAGGGTGTAGGCGTGTGAGACACCGAGTCCACACCAGAGTCTAAGCTGTCACTCTTGGGGAAGTCTGGGGCGGCTCCTCCACCCCCTGTGCCAGGGGCCCCCAAGGCCCCTGGGTGTGGCAACAGCTCTGTCTTCCGTCGCCCAGGGCTGATGGGCACGGTGAAGGTCAGGTTGGTCTGGAAGGTGGGTAGGATGCCAGAGGAGTGGCGCTCTCGGGGGGCAGGTGGCGGCGGGTGGGGGCCCAGGTCTGGTGGCGTCAGCACGCCTGCCTTAGGGGTGCTGGCGCTCAGGTGGCGACTGCGGACTGCAGTGCGCTGGATGACTGGCGAAGCGTTGATGGGGCTGAAGTTGGCGGGGCGGAAGCCAAAGAGTGGCGAGGGTGAGGGCGACGGGGCTGGCGAGAAGGGCGACTGAGTGGAGACGGGTGAGAAGGATGGGGTGCCTGAGCGCGAGCTGCCCAGTGACACTAGCATCACGGCTGCCTCACACTCGTCGAACTCAAAGCGTGACAAGTCAGCAGGGGCCACCAGGCGTGGTCGCGAGTCTCCACGAGCCGCCACACTGCTGGCCTCGCTGTCCCTCGATGTCTCATCACCCCAGTCAAACTCCGTGCTGCCCTCACGGGCTGCCACGGCCGCTGGCCGGCCCGCTCCCCCAGGCCCGCTGTCTGCCAGGCCCTCCATCTCTTTGGTTCGCATGGACAGGTGGCGTGAGCAGTAGCCTCGCCGCTGTGACTCCTTCATGCAACCATCTCTCGAGCACAGCCGGCGCCACTGCTTGCCATTGAACTTCTTTCGGATTCCGCTGGGTGTGCAGACCACATCGCCTTTCTTATACTTCTGTTGGGCAGCCGTCAGTGGCGTACGGGCCCGGGCTGCTGGCGCGGTCCCCTTCTCCAGGGAGGCCACACTGCTGCTGCGGCTGCCGCCCTGGCTCCCCTCCTGGCAGGGCGAGGGTTGCTCGCCAGGTCGGCCAGGGCCCACAAAGGCTGGAGACTTGGGTGGTGGCGACAGGAGCTGGGGTGGGGGCAGTGGGAGCAGGGCTGGGGTGCCCAGGGCTGGAGTGTGCTTCTCCTCGCCCTCCTCACAGTGAGTACCCAGGTTGCCACCAAAGCTGATCTTAGAGACTTCAGCATCCTCGGGCTGTTTGGGGTCCAGGGCGGCAGGGCAGGGTGGCAGGGTGGCCCTAGGCTCTGCCTGCTCTTCCTCGGGGCCTATGGGGGGTTTCCTCAGCAGGGCCTCAGGTTCCCAGGGGGGCCGAAGCAGGCGCAGGCTGGAGCGGGCCACCCACACGGCCTCCTCGGGCTCACGGTGCAGTGGCTGTGGGGGCTGTGGGAGGCTGCCTGGTGGGCCTGGCTGGGAGCTGGGGCTGGGGCTGAGACGGACCTTGTAGGCAGCTGGCTTGGTGGCCACCTCCACCACCACACCTTCCCGGTAGGCAGCCACGCCGGGCTCCACACAGGTACAGACAGCTGTGCCCACCACCAGGGCACCTGGTGGTGGTGTGGCATCCAAAACCACATCCACACCACTGCCTGGCACCCCCTCGTAGAACGTCAGGGCTCGGTCACCAGGGAACTGCACGCCCAGGTCCTGGCTTCGGCGCACCTGGCGCACCACAGCTGGCAGGAAGAGGCCATCACCACGCCGGGCCAGCACCCGCTGGGACCGCAGCTGCCGCAGGTCATAGCCACCACTGGTGCTACTGGGGGGCCAGGGGCCTGGACCACAAGCCTCAGCTGGCTCATCCTCCAGGTCTGCTGAGTGCTCACTGGCTGTGTCCGTGGAGGAGGAACGGGTGGAGGTGGGTGGCCGTGGAGGCACCCCCAGGCCACTGGCCTCCTCAGGGGTCCGCACCCGCTCTTCAGGGGCCCCAGCCACCCCACTACTGCCAGCTCCGTGCTCCTCCACATACTTCTTCTTGGGCGCTCGCGACTTGAACGTGGCTGTCTTGCGGCTGAGTGAGGGCTCCCAGCGGCCTGCCTCCCCATCCCCCTTGGAGTCCTCAGCTGGGCCTGGAGCCGGGTCGCCAGGGTGCAGTTCCAGTGGGGCACCTTCAGCCCCAGGGCCCTGCTCAGCCTCCTCCTCCTCCCCCTCCTCAGCCTCTTCAGTCCCGGGCTGTGGCTGTGGCTGCTGTGCCTCGTCGTCCTCCTCCTCTGGCTTGTCACCTTCCCCAGCCCCTCGCCGCCTCAGAGCCTTGGCCCTGGTGGCTGGAGGGGACTTGCTGCCGCTGCCAGCACCTGAGAGGCCAGTGCATGTCTTCTTCATTGGCTTCATTTCTGTCCACCTGCAGGGTGGGAGAGCGGACAGGGATTATGGGGAGAAACTCAGGACCCCCACAGACCCAGTGTACCCTAAGACTTCCCACTTGCTGAGTCTGCTGTCTCCATCCCACCATCCCCAAGGCCTCCTCTCTGGCCACCCTCAACTCATGTGATTCACAAGTCAGCACCAGGCACAGGCGAGCACCCGAGTCCCCTGAGTATACACACTCTAGCTCCTTGGGGAACCCTCACAGACACCTGCCGTCTCTGCAGAGGACACAGAGCACATGCTCCAAACATCCCAAGAGGACACCAGAAGCACTAACAGTTCACACCTGTGGAGTACTCCCTTCGTCCTGAACTCTGTGCTAAGCTTGCCTTTATTAACCTGTTTCATCCTCATAGCAGTCCTAAAAGCAGGTGCTACTATCGGCCTCATTTCACACCTGAGGAAACTGAGGCACAGAGAGATGAGGCAACTTGTCCAAGACCATCCAGGTGGGAACAGCAGGGCTAGGGTCTGAACCCAGGCTCGCTGGCTCCAGAGTCCGTGCTCCTGGCCATTTCAGTGTGCTACCTGTCACATGATCCAGAGGGCACATTTACTCACAGTCACCATGCAGAGGGTACATGCACTCAGACACACACACATGCACAAGCACCAAGTCACAGAAAGAGAGGTGATTGGGCTGTGATATGAGCCTCTCTCCACCCCCCCCAACCCTCCCTCCGCCCCTCTGGGCAGCCTGGCATGGCCAGGCATTGTGGGAAGAAGTGGGCAGCTGAGAGTCCCGAGGGACAGCTACCCACTCTGCTCTGCACCCCAGGGCTGCCAGGTACGGCCATCTCCCCAGATCCTGGCAGGGAGCAGGCAGGGGCATGTCTGGGGCAAGAGCTCATACCCAGCACTGCCACGGGGCCGTGCAGGAGCACACGCACGCGCACAAACACACACAAACACACACACGCACAGAGGCACGCACACGTCATCACACAGTGGGACACAGGGCTACACCCTAGGGTTTCTCTGTCCCACTGGAGCCTGCTCCTCCCCCCACAGCACCCAGCGTGATACCCGCAAACCCAACCCCTGCCTCTTCTGGCCTGCATGCATCCCTGCCCTGGCTGGGCTGGCTCTGGTAGGGTGGCTGAGTCGGCTAGCCCCCCACAGACCCCCAAATATGCCCTCCAACTCCAAGTGGGGATAAGTGGGATAAGGTCAAAGAAAGCAGGACAAGCCCAACAGGCCAACCTCACCCACTTCCTGAACAGTCATTACTGCCCGCCCCCTTTCGAGCTGCCCTGAGAAAAGAAAAGGGGAAAAAACTTTACTCTGAAGTGACTAAGAGAACCTGAGAGGCCAAAACGGAGGCCTCTAGGAGGGTTAAGGGGCCCAGGACCATAAGCCAAACACAATCAGAGGCACCCCGACTCAGTCTTCCGGCTACCAGGGGCCCCCTGACCTCGTGCTCTCCCGCTACAGGCTGCTCCTCCTGTGGACCCTGAAATCCCAAGCCTGCCCCTTTTTGGGCCCATCCTGGGGTCCTCACAGGCAGAGCCTGGAGGGCCTGGGGCTATGCCCAGAAGTTGGGCAGCCACCACCACCTACTCCCCACTGACCCACTGGGCCACCATCTTGGGGACTGAGATCTGGCCCCAGTTTTTCCCAAACACAAACCTTTGCATATCCCACCCAGGGCCTACAACTATACTGCCTGGGTCCCCTAGACCTTGCTGCCTAGCCCAGTCTCTCTTCACCTCAGAGCTGCTTTCTTTCCCCTGGGGCCTACTCTCTTCCTGTCCACCCTGTCTGAATAACTCCCACCCAAGCCCCCGGGGCCCTCACCTTCCTCAGATCTAAGTAGTAACTCCTGGAGCCCAGGCCAGCCCAGGCCCTGGCTCTTTGGGGTCTCATACCCTCTGCTCCCATTAGCCCTCCTGGCACCAGCTTCTCTGCCACTCTCTCTCCCATCCTGCCACCACCTCTACCTCTGCCTCACTGCTCGCATGCCCTAGGCCCCCTCCTGTCACCCCCTCCTTGTCACCCCCATTTATCTCTGTCACCTATTCCTCCCAGTCACTCTCCTGTCAGCCATCTCCGGACCTGTCACCTTCTCTCCCCATCACCTCTCCTTGTCACACTCTCCAACTCTGTCCCCTCCCTCTCCCTATCACCCTGATCTAGTCCTGTCACCCCTCCATTCCTGTTACCCTTCTTTGCCCACCACCCCCTCCCCCAGTTATCCCTTTTCTGTCAAACCCCCAGCACTTCCTCCACTCCCTCCTCCCTTCCCACCATTCCGCCCACCTCTTTCCCCCTGTACCCCCTCCCCGTCCCTGCCACCTGTCCCCTCTCGGCCCCCAGCCCCCCGGACCCCCGCTTCCTGTGTCAGCCCTGGCCCCGCCCCTCACCTTGGGCTCGGCGGGGTTTCGGGGCGGGGGGCCGTGGCCCCGGCTCGGTCCGGTCCGGTCCCTCCCCGCCCCCCCTCCGGCTCTCCCTCTCGATTCTCCCTTTTTTTTTTACTCCAACACACAAAATGGTGAATGGACCTGCAACAGCTGGAGCAGCCAGCCAATCAGCGGTCACAACCCCGCTGACCGGCGCCAGTCTAGACCAATAGATATACGCAGCCTGGTCGGCTCCGCCTCTCGACGACGAGCGACGCTCGAAGCGACCAATCGTGCCCATCCGGCAGCGCTAGGGGGCAGGGCCAAAGTCCAAGACCGGCCTCCCTCCGGGACCGACACCAACCTGAGCCTACGACCGCCTGATCTGCCTAGAGCCCTACCCTACAACAACTGAAGGACACAAGCCGTGCCCAATTGAAAGCCGTCTTAGTTCCGAATGACAAATACAGTACCCAGTCGCCATGCAGCCTAGGCCGGAACCCAGCCTCTGTGAGGGACAGTAGCCAATGAAATGAAAGGAGGCGGGGCTAACGGACAGCTTGTCCAATGAGCGGAGGTGGAAGGCGTGGCCCGAACGTTTGTTGACCGGCTAGTCGCAATTCCTGCTGGGAATCGTAGTCTTCTCACGTCTCCGGCCCATAGCCGACAGTGCAAGGTAGACTACAACTCCCATGTGACAGAGTGCCTGAAGCACCAAAGAACCCCGGCGAAAAGAAAAAGTCGAAAAGGGCAGTTCATCGTGAGTCTTACTGGACCCCAGGAGTATCTTAAACCCAGGGCCCCGACTCACCCGTATTACTGGCTCTGGCGTCGCCGATAGCTCCTCTCAGTGGCAGCGGTAGCGGCACGAGGGGGAGGTGCAAGGAGCAGCCAACCGCCACCCGCGAGCCCCGCAACCAATCAGCTGCGGCCGGGGCGGTGCAATGACCTCACCGGTTCTACTCTCTTACCCCTCCCCCACGTGGTTGTTGCTGCCGGTAGCCGGAGTAGGGAAGTTTGGGTTGGGGGAGGGGAACAGAACCAGTGATGTCACCTTTCCTCTTCTTGATTGGCTGTCGGGTGGCCGGGACTACGACCAATTGACGGTCTCGAAAAGTCTGGCGCGGCCCCGCGGAAAGCCCTGTTGCCACCGGGTGGGGAGAGAACGCGCGCTTGTGGGGTGTCGCGGGCTGCAGTATAGGCAACGCGCTGGGTCTGGGGCCCTGGGGGCCGGGGGACAGGTCACCTCCTCCAAGAGTTTGACATTTAGGACAGCAAAATTTGACAGCCCACTAGGCATTGGGGCAGGGGGCCGAGATGAGAAAATGCAACGCTTCTTGAGGTTTCGCACTGAATTCCGTGGAGAGCTACAGTTTGTGGGTGTACGCCCCTAACGGAGGGAGATTTTTAAAGATCCTGGGGGTAGAGGGGGGTCTCACACTGGACTGGAGGAGGACAGGGAGATGCCCCTGTTTGAGTAGGATGCCTGCTGCCCAGATACGGGTTTACAACCAGGTGTGAACCTGTCTGCAGTGCATCTATGCTCTCCACCTTGTTTTTGCCCTAGTCCAAGGCTACGGGGAAACCATATGGGTACGCTGGCTGCAGGGAGGGTTTCTTTTGCCTGTGACAGGTTCAAATTTCACACTGGATTCACACCATTTGTGAGGGAAGTGCATCCAGTCTATTGCAGGTTATACTGTCCACGAAACACACTACGTGTAAGAGAATGTGCTAGGACATAGAGCTAGTTCATAGCATAGAAGAAATATCAGTTGTCCAATGGGGTTCATGGAATATGAAGGATATTCAAATTATCTATGAGAAGATCTCACTGTTCACAAATTCTTTTGAGATTGGGAGAAATTCACTGTCCACAAGGAGTTCACATTCGGAAAGAAACTTATAACCTCACTGTTATTATTATTATTATTATTTTCGAGACGGAGTCTTGCTGTGTGGCCCAAGCTGGAGGTTGCAGTGAGCTGAGCGCGATCTCACTTGGCTTACTGCAATCTCCGCCTCCTGGGTTCAAGCGATTCTCCTGCCTCACCCTCCCTAGTAGCTGGGATTACAGGCATTTTTTGTATTTTTAGTAGAGACGGAGTTTCACCATTTTGGCTAGGCTGGTCTCGAACTCCTGATCTCATGATCCACCTGCCTCAGCCTCCCAAAGTGCTGGGATTACAGGCGTGAGCCACCGTGCCTGGTCCTGTTATATGATTTATACCATCTTAAACTCTCATACTACTAGTATTGCTATAATATAATTTTATTTATTTTTAGTTTGTTATTATTTTTCAGACAGGGTCTCACTCTGTTGCCCAGGCTGGACTGCAGTGGCTGGATCATAGCTCACTGCAACCTTGAACACCTGGGCTCAAACCATCCTCTGCCTCAGCCTTCTGAGGTGTTGGGACCACAGGCATGCACTCCTATGCCCTGCTAATTTTTTTTTTTTTTTTGTAGAGATGGGGTCTTACTATGTTGTCCAGACTGGTCTCCAACTTCTGGCCTCAAGCCGTCCTTCCATCTTGGCCTTCCGAAGTGCTGAGATTACAGGCATGAACCACTGTATCTAGCCTTTAATGTAATCCTAAAAGACAATTCATACTTTCATATTGGGTGGACCCGGAGTTGAGGGGAGTTTGACAAAGCAGTTTATATTGTGCGCATTGGGTAGCTGCTGAATGTGGGGGAAATTTACACTCAAGAGAGTGCACACTGCCTCTGTAGGTAGCCCCATGGGGGGTGGTTCATGCTATCACAAATAAGGTTCACAGCAGCCACAGAAAGTTCTCCATGCATGGAGGTGTGCCCTGCCTGTATTGACTGTCATGGATATGATGGAGATTACCCTGTCTGTGAAGAGGCTCCTACGGGGCAGGCGTTCACATTGCCCATGGGAGCTTACATTGTGTTTGGGGGAGATTTTCATTGATTAGGGTTGGGTGTCCTGTTCCGCAGTCAGTTTGCATCAGGTGTGAGGGAGAATTAGACTTTTAGCGGAGGGGTGTGTACTCTGCATAAGGGAATTCACTTGGCCTAGCGAGCCTGCTGCAGTGAAATGACGTCTCAACTATCAGTTCAGGATGTTCTCTGGCTGTGGTGAATTTATTTATTTATTTATTT